ATATAATTTCACTGGAATTCCACAATAAGATTTTGAGGAATTCCATGTAGGTGTAATTCTACGACTATTCCTTGGATTTGTCCAACATCAAACACAATCCTCCAAATTCTCCATAAATTTTTCCAAATTTCCTATAAATTCCTCAAGTTTTTAACAAAAAATTCCAAAGTGGTTTGTTTCTTGGAAAATACAGTCTCACACTTTCAAAGTTTTCCTCGAAAACTAGTAAAGGCAAAAATTTGAAACTTTTTGCATGTGAGGAGAAAGGTTAAACGCTGATTTTCCCAAAATTTCAAATTTTTCTAGTGAAAAATAACAACATGGAAATTAACCTACAATAACTGAATTATTTGAAAATACAGTCTCACACATTTCAACATTTTCTTGGAAAACTAGTGAACGGAAAAATTTAAAACTTGTTGCATGTGAAGAGGAAAGTTAGAGACTCATTTTCCCATAATTTCAAATTTTTCCATTGGGAAATAGCAACATAAGAAATCTTGGAAATCAACTTACAAAAGCTGAAATAATTGTTAATACAGTCTCACGCAATTCAAAGTTTTCCTGGAAAACTAATTGAGAGAAAATTTTGAAACTTTTTGCATGTAAAGAGGAAAGTCAGAAGCTTATTTTCCCAAAATTTCAAATTTTTCTAGTAGAAAATGACAACATGAAGAATCTTGGAAATCAACCTCCAATAAATGAATTAATTGAAAATACAGTCTCACACATTTTAAAGCTAGTAAAGAAACAATTTTGAAACTTTTTGCATGTGAGAAAAAAGTTTAAAGGCTCATTTTCCCAAAATTTCAAATTTTTCCAGTAAAAAAATAGGATTTCGGAAAGATTTCGAAGGATTCTTCACTGTGACAAGATTTCAGATAGGGGCTGATTCTGTAACTCATAACGACGTCGTTAGTGAGCGACAATCGTTACTGAACGACATTAGTATTCTGTATCCAACGATAATCGTTACTGAACGACTTTACTTATTCTGTAGCGAGCGACAGTCGTTGAGAAGTGACAGTTTTCATCGTTTGTTAGCGGCAACTCTCAGGCAGTCGTTCAAAGTTTTTTTTTTATTGTGAGTGATCATTCAATACAATAAAGTGTGAAATAATATAAAATATCGACGATGAACGACTTGTTAGATCGCATGTTGGATGAATTACAAAAAAGGTTCGTCAAAACCATACGAAATTTCAGAGAGCAAAGAAGAAATACGTTCCACCGGTTGATAGATAATAGTAATCCTTTTGAATTGCCCGAGAACGTTTTTAGGAGGATGTACCGGCTTATTGTTGAGGCGGCTAATGACTATTTTCAGGAAATATTGCCGCACCTTGATATTGCAGTGAGAAACACCAAAACACCACCTGTAGTTAGATTTTTCGTAGCGCTTCACTTCTTAGCTCATGGCAGCTAGCAAAAATCTGTGAGTGAAGACACGTTCAACGGATCATCGCAGGCTAACGTTAGCCGGTACTTGCATGAAGTGGTTAATGCTATGGTTAACCATATGGCTAACACATACACCCAATTTCCCCAAAATGTTCAACAGATAGCAGAAATTACAAATGGATACTATCGCAAGTTTCATGTTCGTGGCATCATCGGGTGTATTGATTGTTCCCACATAAAAATAGTTTCACCAAGTGGTGAAGACCTTGGATATCCACTGAACGTATCCATAAATCGGAAGAACTTTTACAGTATAAACTGTCAAATAATTTGCGATTCTAATTGTAAAATATTGGCCATAAATGCTCAGTTTCCAGGGGCGTTCACGACGCAGCTATTTGGAGGATGAGTAATCCAAGAAGATTTATGCATCAGAGATTTCTTCATGGCAATCATGGATTATATTTACTTGGAGACTCAGGATACCCGCTTTTGTCCTATTTTTTAACTCCCATCGTCCGCGCTGCACCTGAAGGTAGAATTGAAGGGGGTCTGGAGGTGCCTACATCCTGATAGAGTTCTTCATTATCATCCAGCTTTCGTTGCACGAATAGTTTATGCCTGTGCGATTCTACACAACATTATAAGGGACAGAAATACATTGGTTCCTGAAGATATCATTATACAGGAGAACAATGATGATGAGCATCTTGATCAAAATGAAATTGACGATGCTTAGCTATTGAATAGGGAACATGAGATCAGAAATGATATTTTCGTGCCTTCGCTCTGGTTTGACTTTTCCAATCGCTGAAAATCTTGATTCCACCATTATTTTCATTTAAAAAAGGTAATGCGACTTGGACAGGATAAGGCAGATAACTTACCCTTTTCCATCCCGCTACAGTCCTGATAGGATCCCCCAAAGAATTTAATTTCTCAGTCAGTTTACCCCAAGTATTTTGAATCAGATCAGGTTCGGAACCATCGAATTTATACTCGCGGAAACATTTGTTTGTGCCTAGCTCGTCAAGATACATTTGATATTGATCCCGAGTTGTTCTAGCCGATCTACCTTTACCTTTCTCACCTTCGGTTCTACCCATTATAATAATTCCTAATTTAATTTATAATAATTTTGCGCAGTTAGGTAGTAATAATATCTAAAAACTAATCTTAAAAGAGCAGCAAATACCTACTGACCGAAAACTGATAGTTACAACTAAATGAAGTTAGCTTATGCTAAATCAGCACTACCAACCTTCGTAAAATCACACGATATTTGTCGTTACGATTTGTCACTAAGTTGAACGTAACGATTCGGTTACGGAATACGATTTCCGAAAATATCGTTCACATCAAAGTCGTTACCACAACGATGTCGTCAAGTAACGACAAGTTACAGAATCAGCTCCTTTTAGAGCGATTTTAAGGGATTTCGGGTGATTTCGAAGAATTTTGGGGTAAATTCGAAGGATTTTGGAGAATTTCAGGTGATTTCGCAAAGATTTTAATTTGAGTTCAGACTGTTACTTATCTTATAAGTGTATTCAAAAGTGTATTAGTATAAACTGAAAAACGGCCGCGTTGGCCGATTTATGAATTTTGAGCCAATTACGAGGAATTTTTGGGTTTACGAAAAGATTTTCTGAAAGATTCCGGAGGGATTTCGGAGTGATTTCGTGGATTTCGAACAAATTTGTGACACGATTTCGGGAAGTGATTAACCTCTCGAAGATTTCATCAAAATTCTTTGGAATTTCACTAAAATTTTAGGTTATTCCATGGGAATTCCGCGAAAATTTTAAGTAATTCCATAACCTTAACATTTCAAAGATTTTATGGAATTCTTGGACTATTTTTTTTCGGAATTACAGTATAGGATTTCATGAAATTCCTCGGAATTCCACTAAAATTTCAATTTCAAAATTCCATATTGTTTTTTTTAACTTTACTAAAATTCCCCAAAATTTTAGCACTGAAATCCTGGAATTCCACAAAAATTCTTCAGAATTTCATTGACATTTTATATAATTTCTTAAAAATTCCTCGGAATTTACTAAAATTTTATGAGAATATCTACGTTCATAGCCAAAAATTTCTCGAAAGTCCAATGAAACTTCAAGGAATTTTTCAAAATTTAATTTATTTTCATAAGAATTTTTCGGAATTTCACTGAAATTCTCTTTTGTTAGGAATTTCTGGGAATATTAATGAAGCTTCAAGTAATTTCTTAAAAATTCACCGAAATATATTAAAATTTTATGTCGTTACATGGGAATTTTTCGGAATATCACCGAAATTCCATGTTTTTAGTTGGAAATTCTTCGGCATTACTTAAATTCAGTAAGAATTGAAATTTCATGTTGGGAATTTCGGTGTAATTTCATATAATTGTTTAAAATTCCTCCATGTAATTCATTTAGGATTTCGTGTAATTCGATCTGAATTTCACTGAAATTTCAAATAATTCGAGATGAATTGAAATTTAATGTGAATTCTATGGAAACTTCGCAAAAATTTCACATCCAATTCCTTTTTCAGAATAACATAATTATTCTTCCGAAATTCCTGGAAATTCCACTAAATTATGAAATTCTGAGACTTTTGGGGATTCCAAAAAATATTTGGGAATTTTAAAGGAAATATTTTTCAGGAATGTTAATGATTTTATTTTGAATATTTCCGATTTTTGATTGGCTCCAAATTATCCGCTGACCAATAGAATTATAGACTGGGGGGCCCGCCCGTGATTAAAATAACTCTAGCCCTTCGGGCTCGCGTATAACTCCGGCCCTTCGGGCTTTCGTATAACTCCTGCCCTTCGGGCTCGCGTATAATTTCGGCCCTTCGGGCTCGCATATTACTCCGCCCCTTTAAGCTCACGTATAATTTTAGCCCTTCGGGCTCGCGTGTAACTCCGGCCCTTCGGGCTCGTATTACTGAGTATCCCAGATTCACAGATTTTTTGTCGTGATGGAGGCGCGGGATTGATTGAAATAATGTTGTCAAATTTTTCTAAATTACATTGAAATATCGAAATTTGGAAAGTGTAATTTGTGAATTAATATTTTAATTAGAAATTAGGAATAAAAAACTGAGAATTTTCAATTTTTTGGGGGAGGCTTAGCCTCCCCTGCCTCCTCTGACGAGCCGCCACTGAAGACATTCAAAGCTCAAGAGCCCATAGGTAATAATCAAAATTTCGAATGATCATTAGCAGCTGAGGTAAAGAATAAAGCCTCTAATATCGTAAAATTCGTAAATCCTTTTTTTTGTCCAACAATTTTGACTGCAGAAATATAAGATATTAATTTCGAAACGAGCGAAAAGTTGCAAAATTACTACAAATGGAATCGATGGAGTTTATGGCAGAATTATTCCACTGGACAATGTAATAGAATGAAACTATATGCAAAAAGTGGAAATTTCGAAACTTGAATGCGAGATAATTATTCAGTTGAGACCATTACATTGCACTGAATGAAGTCGCATTATCAGCAATTAAAAATTTGGGACCTTGAATATACCCTTGAAAAGTCATCTAATTATTATTCCACTAATAATTTTCCCAAAAGTTTTCAATTGAACCTACATACCCTTTAAGTGTTGTGATGTAATCACTATTTCAAGTCTTCTAATAGTAGTGTTCGATTTGATTCCATCACTATACTGCGATAAAAAAATGATATAAAGCACTATTCGGTTGGAGCACCACTGTACCTACTGAAAACGCGTAAAAATCATAGAGCCTGGTGATTTTTTTTTTTTTTTTTTTTCGGTCAGATTAGACAATAATACACGCGAAAACTGATAATATTCTGCACAACGTTAGGATGCTGATACGGGATTACATTTTGTTGGCCTAGGCTCAAACAATTCGAATTTCTCTGTAGAAACAAAATAATTATCTTACTTATTATGTTGGTGTAGGTTATCGTTATAATGCTTTTCCCGATATATAAACATTTGTTGTTTTTTCGCACAGATAAATTTGTGTTTTTCAATCAATTACGTTGAATTCTACGCAATAACTTCGACTGGTTTCCGAAAGTCCCCTAATATAATGTCCATCCCTGACCTACGAGCCCGCGTCGAGAAGGGTGAATCTCGAACAGTGTGTAGTTATCTAAGCGAATCTATGCAATTTTTTTCAACAAAAAAAAATTGCACAATTATTCTAACCGGTTTTTTCCTGCTTTTCGGGGGCACCTATTGAAAAGCGAATTGAATAGGTCTTATGGGATTTTTTTACTCTAGACCCCCTTTATTAAAATTCGCAAAGGGAAACGCCAGAACCTGGTGCCCTTTTGTCTATGGGAGATTAATATTGGCGGTGTTGCCAGAATTTGTTTGATTTTTTTTTGTTTTTTTTTGTTGCAGTAGATATCTTTATAAAGTTATTCCTCAAATCTTTGACAACTTGAAAGTTTGGCATCATCGTACACAACACAATCATTCATACAAAAATGTCTTCTGGCCATTGAATGCATTTACCTGTTTGTATAATATATGCTTGTGCAAAAAAAATTTATTAGCAAACCTTTGTGTTTGTGCTTACCCTCCTGTACTTTACCATAGAGCCGAGCAACAGGTTTGATTCAAATGGCGATATTCGGCCAGATCCGGGAGGAAAAGGAACAGCAAAATGCTTATATGTAGTAATTTTGAGGGTATATTGGGCATTATAATATTCTGAGAAAGAATATAATCTATTGTCAATGCCAAATGAAGAAATTTTTACTATTTCTGAGTATATTTTTCGCTCGCTTATATCCTGAGGTATTTTTTTGTGTTCCTTGAAATTACACTGGTCTCGGTTTTTCAAGTTTTTTTCTTTCATAAAATAATTGATCCCAAAAGGTCTGGACATAAATATGTCGAATCCTATATTTATAAATATTATTCTTGATGCTACTTCATTTAATTTATCAACATTTTAAAATAGCATAGCAGTCGATAAACTCGGTTTCCCACGAAAACCAAGAACCTAATCCTAATCGAGGTTCGCCTAACCCCGATAAGCGAAACCCATAATAACAACACAAAAATCTGCTTGTTTTGCGTTTGGCGAATGCACAATAGGATCCTGCTTTATTTTATTTGCGTAATACTTGTCCCATGTCTCGATAGCGTCTGAGGATGATGCGATTTGGGTTCTCGTTTTTTTTTTTTTTTTTTAATTTGGTTCCATGGATAATTTGATACCAGTTCGGTATTTATTTTAGAAAACTAAAATATTTTTCAAATATGTTAGGTACGCATTCGAAATTTTGGCGTCTACTACTAATTCTACCACTGTATAAAGATACAGGATGATCAATATTTTATCATCTCTAGTTTTGAACGTATAGAAAATGTTTCACGAGAGCCGGTAATAGAATATAATTTTACCCACTGTAATTTGACTCAACAAAAATAAGCCACTGTATAAAGATACAGAAAAATCAATATTTTATTATTCCCGGCTCTTGTAGGAAATCTTCCTCGAAAGCTGGTAATCAAAAACTCAAGGGGCAAACCACCTAGGAATTTATTGCCAAAAATGTAGGGAATTTAGAGAAATTTGTGGGGAATTTAGAGGAATTTGTGAAAAACTTGAAGGAACTTATCGGAATTTATGAGAATTTGGGGAATTTATAGGGAATTCGGAAAAATTTATGGGGAATTTGAAGGAATTTGTGAGGAATTTATAAGGAATTTATGAAGAATTTAAAAGAATTTATGAGGAATATAAAAGAAATTGTAGAGTCATGATGTCACTGAGGTTCACATTCTTATTATAAGAAACACTAATAAATGGAAATTTAAAAAAAAAATCTAGCTTTTTGTTGAACGTTGGACATTCATTTTCATTAAAGAAATTCTCATAAAATTTCACTTCATGGTTTACAGGTCCAAATTTAAAAAAAATTGAAAACAATAATGAGTACAGTTTTTGTAGGCAGATTTCCAAAATTCTTCATGTTGTTATTTTCCACTGGAAAAATTTGAAATTTTGGAAAAATGAGTTTCTAACCTTCCTATTCACATGTAAAAAGTTTCAAATTTTTCCGTTCACTAGTTTTTCAGGAAAACTTTGAATTGTGTGAGGATGTATTAACAATTATTTCAGTTTTTGTAAGTTGGTTTCCAAGATTTTTCATGTTGTTATTTTCCACTAGAAAAATTTAAAATTTTGGGAAAATGAGCTTCTCCCCTTCCTCTTTATATGCAGAAAGTTTCAACATTTTCCCTACACTAGTTTTTTAAGAAAACTTTGAATTGTGTGAGACAGTATTTTTAATTAATTCAGTTATTGTAGGTTGACTTCCAAGATTCTTTATGCTGTTATTTTCCACTGAAAAAATTAAAAATTTTGGGAAAATGAGCTTCTCACCTTCCTCTTTACATGCAAAAAGTTTCAAAATTTTCCCTCCACTAGTTTTTCAGGAAAACTTTGAAATATGTGAGACTGTATTTTCAATTAATTCAGTTATTGGAGGTTGATTTCCAAGATTTTTTATGTTGTTATTTTCCACTGGAAAAATTTAAAATTTCAGGAAAATGAGCCTCTGACCTTCTTCACATGTAAAAAGTTTCAAAATTTTCCCTCAATTAGTTTTCCAGGAAAACTTTGAATTGTGTGAGACTGTATTAACAATTATTTCTATTTTTGTAAGTTGCTTTCCAAGATTGTTCATGTTGTTACTTTCCACCGGAAAAACTTGAAATTTTAGGAAAATAAGCTCCTCCCCTTCCTCTTAACATGCAAAAAGTTTCAAAATTTTCCCTTCAGTAGTTTTCTAGAAAAACTTTGAATTGTCTGAGACAGTATTTTTAATTAATTCAATTATTGTAGGATTTCTACGATTCATCATGTTGTTATTGTCTACTGGAAAAATTTTAAATTTTGGGAAAATAAGCTTCTCCTCTTCCTCTTTACATGAAAAAAGTTTCAAAATTTTCCTTTCACTAGTTTTCCAGGAAAACTTTGAAATGTGTGAGGCAGTATTTTCAATTAATTCAGTTATTATAGGTTGATTTCCAAGATTCCTCATGTTGTTATTACTGGAAAAATTTTAAAATTTTGGGAAAATGAGTTTCTAACCTTCCTTTTCACATGTAAAAAGTTTCAAAATTTTCCCTTCAGTAGTTTTCCAAGAAAACTTTGAAATGTGTGAGACTGTATTTTCAATTAATTCATTTATTGGAGGTTGATTTCCAAGATTCTTCATGTTGTTACTTTTCACTGGAAAAATTTAAAATTTTGTGAAAATGAGCCTCTGACTTTCCTCTTCATATGCAAAAAGTTTCAGAATTTTCCCTTAATCGGTTTTCCAGGAAAACTTTGGATTGTGTGAGACAATAGAGAGATATCGGTAACCCAAATAGGTTCATGCAGTATTAGCGCCTACGTTATTTTGACATTAAACCTATGCGCGATTCGATTTTTAACACTACGTACTAAAATAACGTTACCGCATAACGTAATTTACCCAGCATTTACGTTAAGCGCTATTTCGAATAACGTCTAAAAATAACGCCGTGGAATAATAGGTTATGTTATGTTTATTGTTTATTTTATTATTTTTGATGTGTTCAAGTGAATACGGATTGTTCAAAAAATAGTAAAAAAGCAAATCCTCTGTCCCTGACCATAAACAACAGACAACACTAATCAAATCACAACAAGGTACAAGTTAGGCTACGGTTATAAAATAACGGATGCGAACAGGCAAATTTTACGTTAAACTGTTTTCCGATAACTCTAATTTGAAAGTATGATACCGCTTTACTTTAAAAAAATAACTCCTGACGTTATTAACGTCCATATGCGCTATCTGTTTTACCGATATCTCTCTAATATTAATAATTATTTCAGTTATTGTAAGTTGATTTCCCAAGATTTTTTATGTTGTTATTTTCCACTGGAAAAAATTGAAATTTTGGGAAAATGAGCTTCTCACCTTCTCCTTTACATGCAAAAAGTTTAAAATTTTTCCTTCCACTAGTTTTCCAGGAAAACTTTGAAATGTGTGAGACAGTATTTTCAATTAATTCAGTTATTGTAGGTTGATTTTTAAGATTCTTCATGTTATTTACTGCTCTCGATTGAATTTATTGTTTATGGTCTTGAAAACTTGTTCAACTTTTAGGAAAAGGTCCATTTAAAATAAAAAGAAACAATACATTATCTATTCACAATCCGATGTCCAAAGGTAAAGGTAAAATTTATCACCTTCCAGTGCTATTTGATAGGAAAGGGTGATAGATTTACCTTTACCTTTGGACTATACGGATTGTGAATAGGATATACCTACCCTGAATATTGTAAAACAATATACATACCCAGTGTTGTTCAAAGGGCACATTTGTGCCAAAAGTGGCACTTTTCGCGCGCAAAATGCACGGTGGCACCACTTTGAAAAATTTGGCACGATTCACATTTAGTAAAGTGTGTTTTTTTTTAAAGATAAAAGTCAAAATGACATTAGGTTGGCAATACAATGTAAAATTGTCAATGCTTTCAAATTTTTTATGTAAAAGAGGCTTGTGCTGCCAACATAGTTACTAAATTTTTGACTTGGGGAATTATCTTTAAAAAAAAACACATTTCTTATGGAAAAGTGATCTATGTGGAATTTTGCTGAATTTTTGATATTGTGTAGAGAAAGTCGTCCTTAACAAAAGTAACCATTGCGCTAATGTTTAATACCGAACAGTTTTGGAGATATCAATTAAAAACTTTGATAGCTATAGCGATTAGTGACAAATAAGTAGATAAACAAGTGTATAATGAAGGAATGAAACACCCGGTGTGAGTGTGACACCGGTGCGACTCCCTAGCTGGTCAAAAATGCTAGACAGTGCTATGAGCCCTTAACACCTAGCTTCTGCCGCAATCTTCAACTTTATGTCAGGTGCTTTCTTTTCAGAGCTTTGAAACCCCGGGCTTCGACGCCCTGGGGCGCATCAGCGCACGCTCTGAAAAGAACGGTAATTAAGAGACATATAATTATTTGACACTAGTGACAGTTCGGACACTGGAGCTGTAGAGCTTCGACGCCTCGCTGAGGCGCTAGCGGTGGGAATAGACGACCCTCAAGGAGAATACAAACTCTAGTAGTAGAGTCCGCGTCAGCAGTAAAGAATACGGTGACGACACGGAAAGCTGCGCGAAGCGGGTCGCATCTCTCTCCCTCGTCTATCTCTCGCTATCTGCGGTGACCTCGGTCGTGAGCAGGGTTGCCAGACGTCTCACCTTAGGAGGGACAGTCCCGCATTTTGTTAATCGGTCCCGCTTTTCACGTGAATTGTCCCGGTTTTCCCGCTTTTTCCACCTAATCTTCCCATTTAATGCAAAAAAACACGCTTATTTTATTATACAACTTGTTGATAGCTATTTTTTCATTTAAAATCGACGCAAAAATCAAATAACGAGCCTGAATCGCACACATTTCATCGTGGTCTGCAGGTGACGTTACCACTATTAGCTGCTGGCGTGGTGACGTCACTCGCAGACCTTGTGGACTCGAGAACCGGCGAACGTACGCCTTCTCAGGGGTGCGTTCAAGGACGGCAATGCTAATGCCAAAACCTACTTTTCCCCCACCACCTGTAATGCCGAACCACGTAGGTTGAAGCCGAACTCGAACGGAAAATGCCAATTTTGGCTTGGCTGTAGCCATTCCTGAACGCAGCCCGGGATGAGCAATCTAGTTAATTTACAATTCTTGGGTTAGTTGGGCACCTGTCCCTCCCTCCCCCTTATGCTTTTGGGCGTGGCACCCGAAAAAAAAATTTGAGCTTTCCCTCTGGATAACATCAGTCCCACTTTTTCACTTCATAGATCTGGCAACCCTGGTCGTGAGCTGAAACCAGCAGCGGGGTATCTTTTTAGACAAAACTTGGATAGAAAATAAACTGAATAAATATGCCTGCTGGCCGTACGACAATGAACAACGTGCTTGGCGTTCGGCAGCAGCACTCATCAATACGATAGTTCGGTTAGTCTTCAAAATTGGGTTTGTGCGCACATGACGACACCGTACTCTTTAGTCTTGACGCGGACTCTAGTAGTATATATCATCATTATATCATCCTTGGACGCTTGACTCCCCGATTAAAAAGAACGGTTGACACATTTAGAAATCGTGATCTATGGCGCCTGGGGCGCCCAAGCCCCTGAAAAAAAAGCAGCTGTCATGTCAGTCGTATAGCAATTTCATTTGTACCTGTTGTTTTTTTTTATTTCCTAATGTTAAAAGAAGAAGAATATAGTCAAAGTCAAAAGTGGAAAGGATAGTGATAATTTTCGGTGCTGTGAGCTAACTGATGACGTCATACTGAAGGGTATCACTTTTAAAAAGTTTTTAATGGATATCATCAAAACTGTTCGGGATTAAACATTAGCGCAATGGTAACTTTTGTTAAGGACGATATTCCTCTACACAATATCAAAAATTTAGCAAAATTCCACATAGATCACTTTTCCATAAGAAATGTGCGGGGTCCTTTTTAAGATGAGAAAAACTGGAGCTGGAGCAGGATTTTTTGTTTATTTCGATTCTATTGTAGTTTTTATATATTTTACTTCTGCTGTGCTAGTGACCTCAGTCCTTGACCTGTGAGAATTGTGGTGGATCTGTTAGGTCATTGGATCTGTCGATGTGATTGTGACTAGTGACAGTGACGTGACTGTCAATTGTCATTATAGTGAATTCAATATGAAATAAAAGCCGCTTTCCAGCTGACGCTTTTGAGCACGCAATCGAGCTTATGCGCGCGCAAGTGCTTCAAGCGCGTGTTTGTGTTCCAGTCGTACTGCACTTCGAGAGCTGCCATTTTTTGCGTTTCAAACACAGAACACTGTGCTGCACCGTGCTTGAAGCACACAGCTGGAAAGCGGCTATATCAGGCAATTTTTCGCGAAGATAACCCAAGGTTGTTCAAGAGAGGTAGGTTGTCTGATAACTTCATGACGTCAGCTGGGCTGGGCCCTGGGGTGCCTCAACATAATGCAAATCTCCATAAGGAACCCCAGATGCGTCATCAAGTTACCCATTACCAGGCAACCTTTTAACTTTAGGAACCTTGAGGATAACCAAGCATACTCGATTATGCTCAGATGTTATTTGTCAATTGTGTCATACTCCTTTAACTCCCCTACCATCAAATTCTGGAATACTCGAGGATCAAGAACACTTAATTTCTTCTGTGAGAACAGGTCGAAAATCACTCTTTCTACATTTAAAATCGACCAAAAATCAACTCACTCGCACCATTACTAGCACAGCCTGAATCCTAAGCATTCCATCGAGGTCTACGGGTGACGTCATCACTATAAGCTGCTGATAGTGACGTCACTCGCAGGACCAGAATTGGATGAAGAGGAAGTTAGGGGAGTATGACATAGTTTACAAATGAAATCTGAGCATAATCATCTAATCATGTGATAAAAAGAAATGGGTAAAAAGTCAAAAAATCCTCTTCCATCACTTCTTATTTTAGGTATAGGTGGCACTATTTGGCACTATTTGAGTGTTGCTGCAGGCACACACGAAAATTTCCTAAGAACAACCCTGTACATACCTACCTAAGTTGTTTAAAAAGTAGCTACATGACGTGTATTCTTGGTATTATACAGTAATATATTATTTTTTAATTTCAGATCACGAGCAATTATGGGAATTTTTAGAGAATTTGTAAGAGACATTTGTGGGGAATTTGAGAGAAGTTTTGCGAGAATTTTGAGGAATTTGCAGGAAATTTAGAGAAATTGGTAGGGTATTTGGAGAAATTTGTGGTGGGGTATTTGAAGGAATTTGTGATGATTGAGTTTGTGGGGAATTCGGAGGAATTTGCAAGAATTTTGAGGAATAATGCGTAAAAAATTTCCCTTTGAGGAATTGTTTGCACAAATTCTGGGATGGTGGTTTACCCCTTACAAAAATTATACCGCTGTGTAAAGTTACAGAGTGATCAATATTTGATTATCCCAGGCTCTTAATGTAGAAAGCCTTTCGCGAGAGCCGGTAATAGAAAACAATTTTACTTACTGAACAAAAATAAGCCACTGTATGATGACAGAGTGAGTAGTCTTTTATTATTCCCGGCTCTTGTAGGAAATCTTCCACGAAAGCTGGTAATTGAAAACAATTCCACCACTGTGTAAAGATACGGGGTGATCAATATTTTATTATTCCTGACTCTTAATGTAGAAAATCTTTCACGA